AATTTTTGAAAATTACACTTATTATATACGCGATTCTTTAAAAAAATTAGGTATATTCTTGTTAATACTTTGATCGACGTTCTATAGAAAGAAAATCATAATTGACATACTTTTGTAATAGTTAAAAGATTAGTCGAAAAAAAGAGTGAAGAAAAATTAACTTAATAATTTTCATGTTAAAAGGCAGTATACAAAGTAATTGACGGCATTTTTTGCAAAATGCTACAAATATATAAATGTCATTTTTAATACAATATTAAAACGCATTGAAAAACTATCTTTATTTTTTCATTTTTCCACTAGCCCTAAACACAAGCCGCGCCTCTCGTGCGCGGTTGAAGAAAATTAAATTACGTCATGAAACGACAATAAACACCAACTCGTCGTGATTGACGCGAGTCGTATGCGATGGCTTTCGAAATGAACGCCGAATGTAACAGCAAACCGTACATACGCTACGACGTGTATGCGTTCGTTTTCCTGACCGAGACGAGCAATAGAACGACGCCAATGTATTTACGTCGACGGCGCGACTGGAAAGGATGAGTTATTGTTCGGTCATGACGTCGTCGGTTCGATAATCGAACCTTTTTAATTCAGGTGTAATAACCTGCGTTGCGAACATAGAGAAAAATTTCCCGGCTAGTTTCCACGCAGTTTTCATTAATCTGTCTTCGCCAGTTATCGGGATGGTCAAGTGATGAGCTTTTTTTTTTCTCTCGTCGATCGGTTGCAACGAAGGGGATGCGAGAATTCATGTTCGACGTTGTAGCGCGCGCTAAATTAGAATCGCACGGAGATGAATCCCTTTTTTATTCCATGCCTAGTCTTGGCTAGGTCTCTACCCTCGTCCTTAGGCGTCCAGAGCGATTGCTGGAACGTCGTCGCCCCAAGTCGGTCATGCCGAGCTTATCGGGGCTTTCCTTCGCCGATCGATACCTACCTAGCGTAAGCTCGTTGTGATAATTAATGACTTGGAAGGATAAACGTAGATACTCAATGAAAATATTACTTTCATAATATATCGCCATGGTGCACGAACTGCGAGAGCGAGATACGGAATTTATTACTGTTTTTAACTTTATGTCTAAGTATCAAGTTCCGAGAATTTTTAAGATAAAAAAATTGGAAAAGAAGAGACTGCATAATGATCGAAGAGAAATTAATTTTAGTACAAAAAGGGCATTGTTTGTAATAATTACCACAAAATTGTGTAAAACGAATCCCATTGTACACACGACATTAATTTAACATATCATTATTATTCAATATATGGAGCCATATATTAATATATCAGCATAATCTGTCGTGAAAAGATGAAAACGAAAATCCGTCGAGTTCGCGAAAATTCGTGGCAAGAGAACGACGAGAGAATCCTCTTAACTTTCGAGCGTCCTACGTCTCCATATACAACACGGGAACGAGAAGCAAGACCGACGAAGCGTTGATTAAAATACATTTGTCGAGAGCTTTTCGCCTGGACAATCTCCTCTCCTCTCTACCGGCAGCTATCGCGCGTGACGCGTCGCGCTGCACGCGCATCGTGGCCTCGTGTCTGTCGTATAATTAACGCTAATTTTTTAATTAGAATCTCAGTCGGCGCAAAACGGCATCAACGCGAGAGAGCGCATGTCGAGGTGGCCGTTCGTCGTAATGAGAAAAACGAGCGATAGCGAGAGAGAGGCGCGAGAAGAAGAAGCGAATGAAGATAATAATACGTTTAACGGGAAGGGACGAGCCATGGGCGTTGAGTGTGAAAAAAATTTCCTGGATTTCGTTATGATGGCGACGAAACCCCGACAGCGTCGCTGTTACTCCGGGTAATAATCAGTTGCTCGTATATTTCAACGTAGATACCGCTCGCTAGTGTCTTTTGCGAAATAGTAATCTCCCAATACATAGAAAAATGCTTGAAAAGCTTGCAACATGTATGAATATACGTGAGATTTTACGTTTGATCATTTTTTTTAATTAAAAAAAAAATACATTATTTTAGATTGAAATTTCTGGGAGCAACAAATCCCATATTTTTATGCGAGATTTTTATCAAATCCACCAATTTTTTTCTTTGTTCTACAAACATACGGAGCCTTTTAATTAATTTCTGATAAATTATTGCGAAAATCACAAAATGGTAGAGAAATTTCCTCCTTATTTTGCAAATCTATCTTCATACTTGGGATGTGCAAAAAGATATCGGACCCTCTATATTCTAGGTGTATCACGGATGAGATGGTAACGAAAGATTTGGTCGCGTGTACTTGTCTTTTATAACTTTTTATCAAATATTTTAGAATTGTATTTCTTTTTACACAAATAAATAAATAATAGTCAAAAGCGAAGCAACATGTTGTAGTGATTGAAAATTTTTCGTACGATATCTTAATTTTTTCAATGCTAAAGACATGTATTAATAAAAAAAAATTGTTATATAAATATTTTAAAAAGAGATTGTTGTACATAAATGTAATAGACGTGTATTTGCAGTATTCATGTAATAAAATTAATTTAATTTAATGCAATTTGGTTAAAAAGATTATAGTTAAAAATTAGAATTGAAGTGCTTCCTCCATTCTAATGTAACTGTAAGGATACAAATTAATTTCGTCGTTATGAGATTAGGATATTAACGAAGCATCGCCTCCTTTTTCCGTCTATAATATCGTCGACAATGATTATTAAGGAATGTGTTATGGAAGGTAATATAAGACTCTAATATAAAGGATTCACACCATATATATACGTCCAATTATATGAAAATACAATTCTCTTTCTTTTTACAGTTAAAAATCTCACCTATATTAATGATTACATAATTACAAATGAGTGTTATGATCAATATTAGAAACAATTCTCCAATTCATGCAGGATATTTTTGAATTAGCAAAAATTAATTTCGTAAAAGCGTAAAATAATTGAATCAATAAATATAAATTAATTGAATATTGTAAGCTTTTTTAAGTGTATTGATTATAAATTAAAAAGATTACAATTATATGCTTATGTAAAAATTTTATTCATGAAAATACATCAACTTTACATTCCTTTCATTACAATTATGCAAGTCAATAAATTGAATATAAAAACCTAAAATAACATCGGTTTAAATATTTGTCCACACAATACATTTGAAAAATTATTTTTATAAAATCAATAATAGATCATGTCATATAATACGTAATGTTACTTTAATTCTTTGTCGATGTTTGATAAGTGGAGTCAATAAAAAAAGAAGATATTTCGTAAAACAATCGATATAATTATAAATTTGTGTTACATTTATGCAGGCCCGTGGTTAGTTTACACTTTTCAGCCGATTTTGTTTATTGCTATCCTCATTCCTTTTGTTTCATAATTTTCTCTCGATTTCTCGCGGAATCGTAAGACGCTCGAGTTTATGAATGATTATAATTGTAAACCATTTTGCACACATTTCTTTCTTAAGTTATTCTCTCTAAAATTATTATAATTATAATTGTTATATGTATTATAATATTAGAATATAAACACAACTGTTAAATGTATGTATACATACGAAATTCGTGTTTTATTTTAGTGTTACTTTTGACCTTATAAGATAATAATAATAATCGTAATAATAAACAATAATAAACAATGTATGGAGCAATAAAACCCGATATGATTTATAATTAATATCGTTCTAAACATCTGAACATCTTACCTTCCGTGTACAATCTAGGAAGCTATGAAACAAAAGAAGTAGAGACGACAATAAGTAAAATTGGCCAAAAAGTGCTAACCGCAAGCTTGTATTAATGTTACAACAAAAATTAATGCAATAATTACTCATGAACGCATTACTTTTCTCACTTATTTTTTAGGCAACGTTTTGAAACCATAATATGAGTTTAAATATTTATCCTTGCAATACGTTACAATACAAACAATTATTTTTACAGAATCAATAATAGTTCATGTCATACAATATTTAATGTTACTTAAATTTTTTGTCGATGTTTAATAAGTGAAGTTGATTGAATGAAGAAGATATATTTCGTAAAACAATAGATATAATTATAAATTTGTGTTACATTAATGCAGGCTTGCGGCTGGTTTGTACTTTTCTGTCAATTTTGTCTACTGTTATCTCCATTCCTTTTGTTTAATAGCTTTTCGCGAAAACGTAAGACGCTCGAGTTCAGGAATGATTATAGTTGCAAATCATTCAGCACATACATTCTTCCCTCTCATTTTTCATTCTTTCTAAAGTTATTACAATTATAATTATAATATTGATTATTATAAAACTTAGAACACTAGAAACAGAATGGAAAATATATGAATTGTATGTGTAGACACGAATAATAATTGTGTTTCATTTTAGTGTTATTTTTGACTTTATAATAATAATAATAAGAATAGTAATCATAATAATAATAACTCTGCAAACTTCGTAAATGTATAGAGCAATTAAACTGTAATTTATCACTTTTACCGTTCTGAACTCTCGCGAGCGTCTTACGTTTCGCAAGCAATCTATGTGCAATGAAATAAAAGAAATAGGGATAGCAATAAGTAAAATCGGCCGAAAAGTTAAGCCAACCTCAAGCCTCCATTAATGTTAGAACGAAAATTAATACAGTAATTACTCATCATAAACGCATTACTTCTCACTTATTTTTTCAGGTAACATTTTACGAATCGTCAAATTTATGAAAGCAAAGCCAATAATGTAATCAAAATCAGAATTGAAAGTTAAATGCTAATAACTAATACATGCGATATTATTAATTATCATCCTCTAATATCTTCTTCAAGATTTTTAAGTTCTTTTGACTGAATTTAAGAATTTTTTTTGTTTTCATTAAAATGATCTGCAATCACATCGATAAGAAAGTTTTTGTATAGTTTTGTAAGTTCTGTATTTTTGTTTAAATATTATATGATTCGGAACTACAGGTCGAACTATTGAAATAATGTTGCTTGACATAGCGGTATCACTAATCATCTCTATCACCGTTCGAATTGTCCTTAAAACTGGATTTTCTGTATTGACTTGAAAGTTCTTCTGCCTAAGTGGAGCTATCTTTTTTGCGTTTACTAGGATGTTCTTTTGTCTGACGAGAGCTGTCTCTTTTACGTTTACTTGGAGATTTTTTTGAGGTGCCTGCTGACTGGCTAGACTGACTTGACTGACTAGGCTGGCTGCTTCCTGACTGACCTGACTGACTAGGATTAAAATGTGGTTGAGCAATGGTGCTAGTTGATGGTACGTCGATGGTTTCCCAATTGTCATCTGCTGGGTCCTTAGTGCCTGTTCGAACGTCATCGGATTTATCGTCAGGATTCTCAATGCATGCTTTAATGTCTCCGAATTTATCGTCAGGATCAAAATCAAGTAGTAATCTATATAATACATAAAATAAAAATTACTGTATTAATCATTATTATAAAATATAGCTTCAGTTATGTGCACAATATTATGAAGTCTTTAAACTAATATTTTTTAAAGTAATACTATTATTATCAAAATATCATCGAAAAAATTTGGACATTTGATATTCTCAAAAATTCTACATCCAAATACAAAAATTCTTGCCCAATTATTTAAAAAATGTTTATATTAACTCACAATTTATATTTACACATAGTGTCAGAAATTATTGACTATAATAATATATAAATAAGTTAATAAATTTTAAATTTGTGTATGATATTGTAATTAATAATTTAACAATAAATTAATTTAACCCGAATATACAAAATATTTGTTTGAAACATATACTATATATATATATATATATATATATCTAAATTTTATAATTTTATCCATGGTATACATTTTTTCTATTGTAAAAGTATATACATTATTGCAAAAGTATATAAATTATTTAAAGGAATAATTTAATAATATTCAATTTTTACTTACTCTTTTGGTATTATATCCGCAGGAAGAGGCTGAATTTCTTGGTAATGTTTGTCAATCAAGTGCCTTACGAACATAATAACGTTCTCGGCTTTAATCTCAGTTTCACATTTCTCACATCTACGTACTTTAATCACAATTTCTGATTGACTGGTTATGTTGGGGATATAATTTTTAGCGTGTATATATATCCATTTTTCAAATGCTTGCCAATTTTCTAATTCAATGTTATGGTGATGTTTTAAATGTTCGCTGAGGCCTCCCGGAGCCTCTAGTAATGGTTTACCATCACGTGGCGCAGGTATAACAGTTTTACAATGATTGCATTGTACATTTGGTCTGAGAATTATATCTGAAGATATTATTTCATAATGCGAATCCCAGCTAAATTTTTTAACATTTTTTTTCAGCCTGCTTGCAATTCCAGTCATGTAATCTCGATAAGCTTCCTCGTGGTCTGGATCCTCTTTTTTATTTATTATATGGTTTTTTAGAGCTTCTGTTCTGCGTAGTTTAGGCTGATAAACTTTGTTACAAAGACTACACTCTACTTTAGATAGACTTTCTAACGTAAAATAATTCCATTTCCACGGAGTTCTTGCCATGATGTTCGTTATATATCACAGATCATGCGTTACTAAGTACAAAATAAGAATTATTTCAAGCAAGAGTGTATGAAGAATACAGAAGGTGCAATGTGTAGAAAAAAAGGAGAAAGGTCGCGATAAGAGTGTTTGAATGTATATAAATATTGGCTATCTAGATCTGCCTAACGTATTTGTCTGACTCATTTAACAACATTATTTTATAATACATGGAAGGAATTCTCATAAAAAACAATGATATTTTTATTTATGACGTGGAATTAAAGCCGTTAAAAATTGTAATCACATTAAATGCCCTATGTAATATATATTTAAAATTTGTCTTTAAATTTATATATCTGTTACTGAATATGTGAAGCTGTTATTAAATTTTCAACTTGAATTTTTAATCTGTACTCAAATTACAATTAAAACAATAAGACTATAGTAAGCTGTATTAAATTTTTTACGATTCGATATTATATTTTTAATTTAATAATAAATTCTCAATTTAACAATTTATCTTTAATCATTTTTTTATTATTAATATGTAAAAAATATTCATTCAGTAGAATATTTAATTAAAATATTCGAGCTATAAGAGATCTCAAGTACTTAACTTTAGGTATTTAATTGTTATTTTGGAATAAACATTGCCTCATTACTTGTATGTTTATTTGTATGATTTTTTAATTTTTAAAGCTGTTGATTATATTTGAATTATATAAATAAATGACAAATTTATTATTTGTACCTATATAGATAAAACATTAACTAAATGAATTTGATTCCAATACTTATGATTTGATTGCTATACTTGCAAAGCTTAAATGCGATATGTCTGTTTTTTGAAGCGAATAAAGATTATAATATATGTTTAACGGGAAAGTGCGAGCCATTGAGTGTTAAAAAAATTTCTGTATTTCGTTATGATGGCGATGAAACCTCGACGATGCCACTGTTCCTTCGGGTAATAATCAGTTGCTCGCATATTTCAACGTATAGATCCATCTCGCTAGTGTCTTCATACGGAGTCTTTTAATTAATTTCTCATTAATTATTGCGAAAATCACAAAATGGTAGAGAAGTTTCCTTGTTAATTTGCCAATCTACCTTCATACTTCGGATGTGCAAAAAAATATCGGACACCCTCTATATTCTAGGAGAATCACGGACGAGACGGTAACGAAAGACTTGGCCGCGTGTATCTGTCTGTTATAACTTTTTATCAAATATTTAAGAATTGTATTTCTTTTTAGACAAATAAATAAATAATAGTCAAAAGCTAAGCAACATGTTGTGGCGATTGAAAATTTTTCGTACGATATATTAATTTTTTTAATGATAAAGGCATATAATAATAAAAAAAATTTATTATATAATATTTTAAAAAGAAATTGTTGTACATAAATGTAATAGACGTGTATTTGCAGTATTCATGTAATAAAATTAATCTAATTTAATGCAATTTGGTTAGAAAGATTATAGTTTAAAATTAGAATTGAAGTGCTTCCTCCATTCTAACATAACTGTAAGGACACGAATTAATTTCGTCGTTATGAGACTAGGATATTAACGAAACATTGCCTCCTTTTTCCGTCTGTAATATCGTCAACAATGATTATGAAGGAATGTTATGGAAGGTAATATAAGACTCTAATATAAAGGATCCACACCCTATATATACTTCCAATTACATATGAAAACACAATTCTCTTTCTTTATAATTAAAAATCTCACCTATTAATGATTACATAATTACAAATGAGTGTTACGATCAATATTAGAAACAATTCTTCAATTCCTGCAGGATATTTTTGAATTAGCAAAAATTATTTTCGTAAAAGAGTAAACTCATCGAATCAATAAATATAAATTAATTGAATATTCTAATAAGTTTTAAATGTATTGGAATAATTATAAATTAAAAAGATTACAATTATATTTATGTAAAAATTTTATTTATGAAATTGAATCAATTTTACATTCCTTCATTACAATTATGCATGTCATTAAATTAAATATAAAAACCTATAACAATATCGGTTTAAATATTTGTGCACACAATACGTTTGAAAAATTTTTTTTTATAAAATCAATCATAGATCATATAATATAATACGTAATGTTACTTTAAGGCTTATCGATGTGTGATAAGAAGAGTCAATAAAAAAAGAAGATATATATATTTCGTAAAACAATCGATATAATTATAAATTTGTGTTACATTTATGCAGGCCCGTGGTTAGTTTACACTTTTCAGCCGATTTTGTTTATTGCTATCCTCACTCCTTTTGTTTCATAGTTTTCTCTAGACTTCTCGCAGAATCATGACGCATCATGACGCTCGAGTTCATGAATGATTATAAACGTAAATCATTCTGCACACATTTCTTTCTTAAGTTATTCTCTCTAAAATTATTATAATTCTAATTGTTATGTATATTATAATATTAGAATACTAACACAACTATTAAATGTATGTATACATACAAAATTCGTGTTTTATTTCAGTGTTACTTTTGATCTTATAAGATAATAATAATAATCAATAATAAACAAATAATAAACAGTAATAATAAACAATAATAAACAATGTATGGAGCAATAAAACCTCATATGATTTATAATTAATATCGTTCTAAACATCTGAACATCTTATCTTCCGCGTACAATCTAGATGCTATGCAACAAAAGAAGTAGGGACGACAATAAGTAAAACTGGCCAAAAAGTGCTAACCGCGAGCCTGTATTAATGTTACAACAAAATTTAATGCAATAATTACTCATCATAAACGCATTACTTTTCTCACTTATTTTTTAGGCAATGTTTTGAAACCTTAATATCAGTTTAAATATTTATCCTTGCAATACGTAACAATACAAACAATTATTTTTACAGAATCAATAATAGTTCATGTCATACAATATGTAATGTTACTTAAATTTTTTGTCGATGTTTGATAAGTGGAGTTGATTGAATGAAGAAGATATATTTCGTAAAACAATCGATATAATTATAAATTTGTGTTACATTAATGCAAGCTTGCGGCTGGTTTGTACTTTTCTGTCAATTTTGTCTACTGTTATCTCCATTCCTTTTGTTTAATAGCTTTTCGCGAAAACGTAAGACGCTCGAGTTTAGGAATGATTATAGTTGCAAATCATTCAGCACATACATTCTTCCCTCTCACTTTTCATTCTTTCTAAAGTTATTACAATTATAATTATAATATTGATTATTATAAAACTTAGAACACTAGAAACAAAATGGAAAATATATTAATTGTATGTGTATACACGAATAATAATTGTGTTTCATTTTAGTGTTATTTTTGACTTTATAATAATAATAATAATAATAATCATAATAATAATAACTCTACAAACTCCGTAAATATATAGAGCAATTAAACTGTAATTTATCACATTTACCTTTCTGAACTCTCGCGAGCGTCTTACGTTTCGCAAGCAATCTATGTGCAATAAAATAAAAGAAATAGGGATGGCAATAAGTAAAATCGGCCGAAAAGTTAAGCCAACCTCAAGCCATTAATGTTACATTAATGTTACAACGAAAATTAATACAATAATTACTCATCACAAACTCATTACTTCTCACTTATTTTTTCAGGTAACGTTTTATGAATCGTCAAATTTATCAAAGTAAAGCCAATAATCTAATCAAAATCAGAATTGAAAGTTAAATGCTAATAACTAATACATGCGATATTATTAATTATCATTCTCTAATATCTTCTTCCAGATTTTTAAGTTCTTTTGACTGAATTTAAGAATTTTTTTTGTTTTCATTAAAATGATCTGCAATCACATCGATAAGAAGGTTTTTGCCTGTATTTTTATTTAAATATTATATGATTCGGAACTAGAGGTCGAACTATTGAAATAATGTTGCTTGACATAGCGGTATCACTAATCATCTCGATCACCGTTCGAATTGTCCTTAAAACTGGATTTTCTGTATTGACTTGAAAGTTCTTCTGCCTAAGTGGAGCTATCCTTTTTGCGTTTACTTGGATGTTCTTTTGTCTGACGAGAGCTGTTTCTTTTACGTTTACTTGGAGATTCTTTTGAGGTGTATCGTGACTGGCTAGACTGACTTGACTGACTAGGCTGGCTGCTTCCTGACTGACTAGACTGACCTGACTGACTAAGAACAAGAAGTGGTTGAGTAATGGTTGATGGTACGTTGACTTCCGAAATGTCACTTTCTGATGAGTCATCAGAGTCAGTAGAAACGTCGAAATCATCGAATTTATCGTCAGGATCATAATCAAGTTGTAATCTATATAAAACATAAAATAAAAATTACTGTATTAATCATTATTATAAAATATAGCTTCAATTATGTGCACAATATTATGAAGTCTTTAAACTAATATTTTTTAAAGTAATACTATTATTATCAAAATATCATCGAAAAAATTTGGACATTTGATATTCTCAAAAATTCTACATCCAAATACAAAAATTCTTGCCCAATTATTTAAAAAATGTTTATATTAACTCACAATTTATATTTACACATAGTGTCAGAAATTATTGACTATAATAATACTATAATAATATTATATATAAATAAGTTAATAAATTTTAAATTTGTGTATGATATTGTAATTAATAATTTAACAATAAATTAATTTAACCCGAATATACAAAATATTTGTTCGAAACATATACTATATATATATATATATATATATATATATATATATATATCTGAATTTTATAATTTTATCCATGGTATACATTTTTTCTATTGTAAAAGTATATACATTATTGCAAAAGTATATAAATTATTCAAAGGAATAATTTAATAATATTCAATTTTTACTTACTCTTTTGGTATTATATCCGCAGGAAGAGGCTGAATTTCTTGGTAATGTTCGTCGATCAAGTGCTTTACGAACATAATAGCGTTCTTGGCTCGAATCTTAGCTTTACATACCTCACATCTACGTACTTTAATCACCTTGTTTTCTCGTGGACAGGGTATGTTGGGGCCATATTTTTTAGCGTATTTATATATCCATTCTTTAAATGCTTTCCAGTTTTTGAATTCAATGTTATGGTCATGTTTTAAATGTTTGCTGAGGCCTTTCGGAGCACGTAGGAATGGTGTATCATCACATGGCGCAGGTATATCAACTTTACAATGTTTGCATCGTACATTTGGTTTGAGAATTATATTTGAAGATATTATTTTATAATGCGAATCCCACTTAAATTCTTTAACACTTTTTTCCTTCCACTTTTGATCTTTAAACACGTATTCCAGATAAGCTTCGTTGTGCGCTAGATCCTTTTCTTTATTTTCGTTTATATGGTTTTTTAGAGCTTCTGTTCTGCATAGTTTAGGCTTATAAACTTTGTTACAAAGACTACACTTTACTTTACATAGACTTTTTAACGTAAAATAATTCCATTTCCACTGAGTGTCCATGATGTCCGTTATGTATCACCGATCGTGCGTTACTAAGCACAAAATAAGAATTATTTCAAGCAAGAGTATATGAAGAATACAGAAGGTGTGTAGAAAAAAGGGGGAAAGATCGCGATAAGAGTGTTTGAATGTATATAAATATTGGCTATCTAGATCTGCCTAACGTGTTTGTCTGACTAATTTAACAACATTATTTTATAATACATGGAAGGAATTCTCATAAAAGACATTGATATTTTTATTTATGACGTGGAATTAAAGCCGTTAAAAATTGTAATCACATTAAATGCCCTATGTAATATATCTTTAAAATTTGTCTTTAAATTTATATATCTGTTACTGAATATGTGAAGCTGTTATTAAATTTTCAACTTGAATTTTTAATCTGTACTCAAATTACAATTAAAACAATAAGACTATAGTAAGCTGTATTAAATTTTTTACGATTCGATATTATATTTTTAATTCAATAATATATTCTCAATTTAACAATTTATCTTTAATCATTTTTTTATTATTAATATGTAAAAAATGTTCATTCATTAGAATATTTAATTAAAATATTCGAGCTATAAGATCTCAAGTATTTAACTTTAGGTATTTAATTGTTATTTGGAATAAACATTGCCTCATTACTTGTATGTTTATTTGTATGATTTTTTAATTTTTAAAGCTGTTGATTATATTTGAATTATATAAATAAGTGACAAATTTATTATTTGTACCTATATAGATAAAACATTAACTAAATGAATTTGATTCCAATACTTATGATTTGATTGCTATACTTGCAAAGCTTAAATGCGATATGTCTGTTTTTTGAAGCGAATAAAGATTATAATATATGTTTAACGGGAAAGTGCGAGCCATTGAGTGTTAAAAAAATTTCTGTATTTCGTTATGATGGCGATGAAACCTCGACGATGCCACTGTTCCTTCGGGTAATAATCAGTTGCTCGCATATTTCAACGTATAGATCCATCTCGCTAGTGTCTTCATACGGAGTCTTTTAATTAATTTCTCATTAATTATTGCGAAAATCACAAAATGGTAGAGAAGTTTCCTTGTTAATTTGCCAATCTACCTTCATACTTCGGATGTGCAAAAAAATATCGGACACCCTCTATATTCTAGGAGTATCACGGAGGAGACGGTAACGAAAGACTTGGCCGCGTGTATTTGTCTGTTATAACTTTTTATCAAATATTTAAGAATTGTATTTCTTTTTAGACAAATAAATAAATAATAGTCAAAAGCTAAGCAACATGTTGTGGCGATTGAAAATTTTTCGTACGATATATTAATTTTTTTAATGCTAAAGGCACATAATAATAAAAAAAATTTATTATATAATATTTTAAAAAGAAATTGTTGTACATAAATGTAATAGACGTGTATTTGCAGTATTCATGTAATAAAATTAATTTAATTTAATGCAATTTGGTTAGAAAGATTATAGTTCAAAATTAGAATTAAAGTGCTTCCTCCATTCTAACGTAACTGTAAGGACACGAATTAATTTCATCGTTATGAGATTAGGATATTAACGAAACATTGCCTCCTTTTTCCGTCTGTAATATCGTCAACAATGATTATGAAGGAATGTTATGGAAGGTAATATAAGACTCTAATATAAAAGATCCACACCCTATATATACTTCCAATTACATATGAAAACACAATTCTCTTTCTTTATAGTTAAAAATTTCACCTATTAATGATTACATAATTACAAATGAGTGTTACGATCAATATCAGAAACAATTCTCCAATTCCTGCAGGATATTTTTGAATTAGCAAAAATTATTTTCGTAAAAGAGTAAACTCATCGAATCAATAAATATATAAATTAATTGGAAATGATTACATAAATTAATAAGTTATTTAATATATGTAATAAATTGAATTAAATTAATAATTTTAAAAATATAGTTAAAATTAGAATTAAGCTTCTATTTAATAATGTAAGACACAATTTTAAAAAGATTACAATTATATTAATGTAAAAAAAAAAAAAAAAAAAAAAAAATTTTATATTTATGAAATTGAATCAATTTTACATTCCTTCATTACAATTATGCATGTCATTAAATTGAATATAAAAAAAAAAAAAAAAAAAAAAAAAAAAAAAAAAAAAAAAAAAAATAAAAAACCTATAACAATATCGGTTTAAATATTTGTCCACATAATACGTTTGAAAACATTTTTTTTATAAAATCAATCATAGATCATATAATATAATACGTAATGTTACTTTAAGGCTTATCGATGTGTGATAAGAAGAGTCAATAAAAAAAGAAGATATATATATTTCGTAAAACAATCGATATAATTATAAATTTGTGTTACATTTATGCAGGCCCGTGGTTAGTTTACACTTTTCAGCCGATTTTGTTTATTGCTATCCTCATTCCTTTTGTTTCATAATTTTCTCTCGATTTCTCGCGGAATCGTAAGACGCTCGAGTTTATGAATGATTATAATTGTAAATCATTCTGCACACATTTCTTTCTTAAGTTATTCTCTCTAATATTATTATAATTATAATTATAATTATAATTATAATTATAATTGTTATAAGTATTATAAAATTAGAATACTAAAACAACTATAAATTGTATGTATAGATACGATTAAAATTGGTGTTTTATTTCATTGTTACTTTTGATCTTATAAGATAATAATAATAATCGTAGCAATAATAAACAATGTATGGAGCAATAAAACCTCATATGATTTATAATTAATATCGTTCTAAACATCTGAACATCTTACCTTCCGCGTACAATCTAAGTGCTATGAAACAAAAAAAGTAGGGACGACAATAAGTAAAATTGGCCAAAAAATGCTAACCGCAAGCCTGTATTAAAGTTACAACAAATATTAATGCAATAATTACTCATCATAAACGCATTAATTTTCTCACTTATTTTTTAGGTGTCGTTTTGAAACCCTAATCAGTTTAAATATTTATCTTTGCAATACGTTACAATACAAATAATTATTTTTACAGAATCAATAATAGTTCATGTCATACAATATGTAATGTTACTTAAATTTTTTGTCGATGTTTGACAAGTGATGTTGATTGAATGAAGAAGATATATTTCGTAAAACAATCGATATAATTATAAATTTGTGTTACATTAATGCAGACTGCTGGTTTGTATTTTTCTGTCAATTTTGTCTACTGTTATCTTCATTCCTTTTGTTTCATAGCTTCTTGCGAAAACGTAAGACTTTCGAGGAATAATTATAGTTGCAAATCGTTCAGTACATACATTCTTCGCTTTCACTTTTCATTCTTTCTAAAGTTATTAAAATTATAATTATAATATTGATTATTATAACACTAGAAAGCTTAGAACACTAGAAACAGAATGTAAAATATATTAATTGTATGTGTAGACACGAATAATAATTGTATTCCATTTTAGTGTTATTTTTGATTTTATAATAATAATAATAATAATCATAATATTAATAACTCTACAAACTCTGTAAATGTATAGAGCAATTAATCTGAATTTTATCACTTTTACCGTTCTGAACTCTCGCGAGCGTCTTACGTTTCGCAAGCAATCTATGTGCAATGAAATAAAAGACATAGGGATGGCAATAAGTAAAATCGGCCGAAAAGTTAAGCCAACCTCAAGCCTGCATTAATGTTACAACGAAAATTAATACAATAACTCATCATAAACGCATTACTTCTCACTTATTTTTTCAGGTAACCTTTTACGAATCGTCAAATTTATGAAAGCAAAGCCAATAATGTAATCAAAATTAGAATTGAAAGTTAAATGCTAATAACTAATACATGCGATATTATTAATTATTATCCTCTAATATCTTCTTCAAGATTTTTAAGTTCTTTTGACTGAATTTAAGAATTTTTTTTGTTTTCATTAAAATGATCTGCAATCACATTGATAAGAAAGTTTTTGTCTGTATTTTTATTTAAATATTATATGATTCGGAACTAAAGGTCGAACTATTGAAATAATGTTGCTTGACATAGCGGTATCACTAATCATCTCTATAACCGTTCGTATTGTCCTTAAAACTGGATTTTCTGTATTGACTTGAAAGTCCTTCTGCCTAAGTGGAGCTATCTTTTTTGCGTTTACTAGGATGTTCTTTTGTCTGATGAGAGCTGCTTCTTTTACGTTTACTTGGAGATTTTTTTGAGGTGCCTCCTGACTGGCTAGACTGACTTGACTGACCAGGCTGGCTGCTTCCTGACTGACCTGACTGATTAGTATCAAAATGTAGTTGAGCAATGGTGCTAGTTGATGGTACGTCGATGGTTTCCCAACTGTCATCTGCTGGGTCCTTAGTGCCTGTTGGAACGTCATCGGATTTATCGACAGGATTCTCAATGCATGCTGGAATGTCTCCGAATTTATCGTCAGGATCAAAATCAAGTAGTAATCTATATAATAATACATAAAATAAAAATTACTGTATTAATCATTATTATAAAATATAGCTTCAATTATGTGCACAATATTATGAAGTCTTTAAATTAATATTTTTTAAAGTAATACTATTATTATCAAAATATCATCGAAAAAATTTGAACATTTGATATACTCAAAAATTCCACATCCAAATACAAAAATTCTTGCCAAATTATTTAAAAAAATGTTTACATTAACTCACAATTTATATTTACACATAGCGTCAGAAATTATTGACTATAATAATACTATAATAATATATAAATAAATTAATAAATTTTAAATTTGTGTATGATATTGTGATTAATAATTTAACATTAAATTAATTTAATCCGAATATACAAAATATTTGTTCGAAACATATTATATATATAATATGTTTCGGACAAATATTTTGTGTGACAAATATTCGGGTTAAATTAATACTATATATATATGAACTACTGAATTTTATAATTTTATCCATGGTATACATTTTTTCTATTGTAAAAGTATATAAATTATTGCACAAGTATATAAATTATTCAAAAGAAGTAAATTAATAATATTCAATTTTTGCTTACTCTTTTGGTATTATACCCGGAGGAAAGGACTTAATTTTTTGGTAATGTTTGTCGATCAAATGCTTTACTAACATAATAGCGTTCTTGGCTTTAATCTTAACATGACACACTCCACATGTATTTACTTGGATCACATTGTTTCGTTGACAGAATATGTAGGGATCATATTTTTTAGCGTATTTACGTATGCATCTTTTAAATTTTTTCCAGTTTTTTAATTCAATGTTATGGTCATTTTTTAAATGTTCGCTGAGGCCTTCCGGAGAACGTAAGAAACACGTTGTATCACGTGGCGTAGGTATATATTCTTTACAATAATTGCATTGTACATTTGGTTTGAGAATTATATTTGAATATTTTATTTTATAATGCGAATCCCACTTAAATTCTTTTCTTTCCTCCCTCGTTCTATCTCGGCTAGACTTGTATTCCAGATAAGCTTTCTTGTGCGCTGGATCCTTTTTTTTATTTATTAAATGATTTCTTAGATGTTTTGATGTGAATAGTTTAGGCTCATAAACCTTATTACAAAGACTACACTTTATTTCAGATAGACTTTCTAACGTAAAATAATTATATTTCCACGGATTCTTATTTGCCATGATGTCCGTTATGTATCACCGATCGTGCGTTACTAAGCACAAAATAAGAATTATTTCAAGCAAGAATATATGAAGAATACAGAAGGTGTGTAGAAAAAATGGGGAAAGGTCGCGATAAGAGTGTTTGAATGGATATAAATATTGGATATAAATATTGGTTGTCTAAATCTGCCCAACGTGTTTGTCTGACTCATTTAACAACATTATTTTATAATACATGGAAGGAATTCTCATAAATGACATTGATATTTTTATTTATGACGTGGAATTAAAGCCGTTAAAAATTGTAATCACATTAAATGCCCTATGTAATATATCTTTAAAATTTGTCTTTAAATTTATATATCTGTTACTGAATATGTGAAGCTGTTATTAAATTTTCAACTTGAATTTTTAATCTGTACTCAAATTACAATTAAAACAATAAGACTATAGTAAGCTGTATTAAATTTTTTACGATTTGATATTAGATTTTTAATTCAATGATAAATTCTCAATTTAACAATTTATCTTTAATCATTTTTTTATTATTAATATGTAAGAAATATTATTTTATTAGAATGTTTAATTAAATTATTTGAGCTATAAGATCTCAAGTATTTAACTTTAAGTATTTAATTGTTATTCGGATTGAACAATGTCTCATTACTTGTATATTTATTTCTATGATGTTCTAATTTTAGAAGCTGTTGGTTATATTCGAATTATATAAATAAATGACAAATTTTTGAATTGTTGTATCTATATAGATATTGACTTGAAACGAGTTTAATTTCAATACTTATGACTTCAACACTTGCCAAGCTCAAGTGCGATATGTCTGTTTTTCGATGTAAATGGAGATAATAATATACGTTTAACGGAAAGGGGCGAGTCATGGTCGTTGAGTGTGAAAAAAAATTCGAGTAATAATCAGTTACTCGTATATTTCAAGGTAGAAACCGCTCGCTAGTGTCTTCTGCGAAATATTGATTTCTGGACACAGATAAATGCTTAGAAAGTTTGCATGTACATATAATCTAGTCTATATCTATAACAATTAAAATAATTTCCGGCACATATCATACTTCGAGATATGTTGTATATGTTGTACATATACAACATGGGATTTTACTCATTTTTTTAAATTAAAAATAATACATTATTTTAGATTGAAATTTCTGTGTGCAATAAATGCTATATTTTTATGCGTGACTTTTATCAAATCCATCAGTTTTTTCTTTGTTCCGCAAACATACGAAGTCGAGCTATGCCACTTTGATGATCTAATGATTTCGCTCTCATCTTCGTTTCAGGCACGCGGCCACCGGAAACAGATAGGCGCGCTCAGCACGCTCTGACTCTAGCATTCTCCTGGTTCAATTTGCACTTGGCTCGGCCCTTTGCTCTCCTCGTGACAGGATGCCTTTCAATTATTCCGTTCACGCCGCTCCGTAATTTGAACTCTGCGCAGCGGTCGCTCTTTTCCCTCTCCCCTCTCGCGGCGGTCGGCCGGGTCGGACGAGTCTGGCGCACCCCTTTTTGTTGTTTTATTTTTCGCCTTTTTTTTGAGCACATGAAAACTGCGAAGTGTACCGCGGGGATGGCACATCGCGAGAATTGCCATAAAACGATGGTGAAAATGCGGGAGAAAAATGGGATTTTCGACGATGGCTCCACGTTACCAGGAGCAAATGGGCTTTCGATCGGCTCGAATGACCATGACTTTAATTGCGTACTTTGTTCGGCGCCATCGTGTAATTTCCGGCGTTCGCCGGCGGTTTATGTACTACGATGATGTAACGGAATTTGGCGCGAGCCATAAACACGCCAAATGTTGTTGTTTTATCGGCTATAATGGGACAGGTTGTATCGTCGTGATCTACCGAATTAACAGCTTGCATTTACGAACAAATGTCGCTCGCGCAAGTCACATACCAATAAGATCGACGTATTAATATTCCCGGATCCTGACGTCTCAACGGAATGACAAGTCACATTGTAAACACACCTGAATCCGAAAGATATTTATTCATGATATTTTATACGAAAATTGAATAAAATTTTTGTTGCTTTCTTTGTATCAATTATAAAAATTTTGAATTTTGAAAAACGATATTAAACTATATAAACTGTGTAAAAACTTTATATAAAAATTATATTTCATATTTTTAATTCATATTTTCTTCTTGTTTCAGGTAAGTCCTCGAATGGTCGATTGGCTGCTTTAAAAAATGAACGATTGAGGGACTACAATAAGTGAGTCATTAGCAAATGTCTTATTCATTTTCGATTTGCAAACTGATTGGTGGTGGATTCGCTCTCAGACACCCCCAACAAATTCAAGACAACTCGCGCGCGAATTCGAGAAATTAATTAGTGAAAATCCGAAGGGGATCGTGGGTAGTCGAGGGATTGTAAAGATTGGACGGCAGGCCATACCTAGAGGCGGAGGGGATGGGTAGACTTTGGTACTCGAGACTTTGGCCTTCGAAACCCTCGCAGCAACGGGTCTCTCCCTTGGGATCCACTCTCCCTCTCTCTCTCTTTCTCTCTCCATTCTCTTCATTCAGTCTTGCTTCTCTCCATTTTCCAAATTCCGTTTCATGCTGATAGAGTTCCTCTCTCTCTCTCTCTCTCTTTCCCTCCCTCCTCCCTCTCCCACTTTCTCTCTTTCTTTCTCTCTTTCTTTACCTCTCTTTTTACCTCGCTCTTTACCATCGTACTCTCTTTCTTCTCCCCTCAATCTTTCATTGCCGATACTTCATATTAACCGCACCTCTTCGTCGGGCCGTTATCGTTATAATAAAGAAGAAGTAAAAGAATGAAAACGAGTACAAAAAATGAGAAAAAGCCGATGGCGTCCGATTATCTACGAGCGCCGACAAAACCTATATCGCAGACTGGCTCGTGCCATATAACTTCAGTAGCGATATTTTTCAATTGCACGACAGCAGTCGGTTATCTGTATAATGATATCAGACTAACGAAAGAAAACATTAAGTTGCGCGATTTCACGTCTGCGAAAATGGCCATTTCTCCAGGATTTCAGTGACATTAACAATAATTTCATACAAATAATACGCAGTCATGATACTTAAAGAAGGATAATAGTTCTTGGAATAATAGAACTCAGGAATAATAGAACTTGTACAGTATGATAATAATAATATTTGAATTATAAATATTAACTTGCGACCTTTTGATATGTGATATTTATCGTACGATATTTTATATGTCTCTTTTGTTATAAAAAATTAAATTTCCTACAAATAAAAATATATATAAAGAAGAAAAAACATATACACAATTAATCTATGCAAAATTCAAATAGTAAACAAATACAATATAATTTTCTTCTATATATATATATATATTTATAAATACGATTTTTGTAATAATGATTATATTTGTAATCATTAGTCTTCGACATTTTTATAGAAAAAGAGAAACTGTTGTCTTATAAATCATATACATGGTGCAAAGTTCGCCAACACGAAATGTCGAGTTCGTTAAGTCCATGACCGGCATCAAAGCATGATGATATGCACGTAAAACATAAGATCTATGCCGTAATTGAATGCCATTGAATAACCATCTCGCGGAAATAATGGCCCCTTATTTTCCCATCGTTTCCTTCCAGAAATGAGTTCTCGCGAATACCAGAGTGAAATGAACGCCACGTAGTTGTCTGCCCGATCTTCTACTATCTAAATTACATTTCGAAGAAGAGGAATCGGTAGTTATTTATTTCTTCCGCGGCATCATGCATTTTTTCACATCATGCATTTTTTCCAACGAAGACGTCCGATAACCTCGTCGTTGAATTTTTACTAAGACTCTTTCGTTCTCATTACTTTTTTGTTTGTTCGTATAAGATACAGGACTCATGATCAGAAACGACTATATGTATATTGTAGAAACTAACGAGCTTTAACCTCCGAAAGCTGGTCATAAAAAACTTGCTATTTTAAATTCATGAAACCAATAATCTCCTTTACCCGTAAATACTAAGAAAAATTTAATTTCCTTCTAAGAAATTACTTTATGTGTATATAAATGCATAAGAATATTTATGATGCATTTACTCGTATATTATAAATTTATTTGTGCCTCTTAGTTGTATTAAGCTTCCATATTGAAAGTTCAATTAAATTTTTATTAATTGTATATATAAACTATAGATAAGAATGATTTCTTTGAAAGATATATTCGTCAATTTTTTAATTTTCTATATATCGTATAAAGTAAGAAGAAGAAGCATTAGATCCCTTCGCTTCATCTGTGTTCTTATACCAAAAATTATTGACATCGGAAAATTATCATTCGCTCGCGATTTTCACGTCGTCTTTGCCTGATTTTTAATGACGCGCAAATTTTATTTCTGCGCCCGAATATCGAGAAATTTTTTTACGACTCTGTAAAAATTATGGCTGAAGGAACTTTCTGTACGAATTATGGCGAGAAGGAATCCTCGAAAAAACCTAAGTCTGCGAACGAATTATTTTTTTACACTCTATCTGTAGCGCCCCGAGATGAATATTCAACTCGCATTTAGCGATTACGCGTGATAATTTTTTTTTGCACTATCAAGCAGTGAACGAATGACAATTAATTAT